AATATATATATATATATTCGACGTTATTCTCTTTGACTTTTTTTTCTGTCTTTCTGTGGTCTTTTGTGTTCATGTTGCTGTTTGTTTGCGAACCTACAGAACAGCTTTTCACTAGTTAAGTTATTTCTGAATGCAGGTGGATCCTATATGTTGTCATTTTTCAAGGATATCAGAGAAAATAAGTTTTGCAAACAAATACAGCCTAACCTAGAAATACAAATACATCAAAGAAATAAAAAATGGGAAATAGTTTCACATGTAGGAGTAATTATTTGGAATACAGAATACATTCACCTTTATCAGAATACTTCCAAACATATCAATGTAGTTTCTTTTATTGTTGCTTAATTTGCCTGGATTATATCTGGAAAAGCTTTTTTAACCTTTAATCTTTGACTTTATGACTCTGTTGTGATGTTCAATCCATATTTTTATGATTTTTTTTTTATAGAGCAAACTTAACGCAGGACATCTCTAGAGGAGTCAGAGGCTGTAAGGAGAAATCCGGGAACGGTATGTCTCCCATCACACTTAGACTCACACACATGCAGTTATTATCACTTCATTATTCAGAAGACCCCGTTTTAATTTTTAAAAAGGTTGAACTTCATTTGGCTCCAGCTCCTTTTTAATGAGTTTTCCTGAATTTTTTACAGTGAGATTAAAGGGTTAAAAGAGTCCTTCTTACTCTGCCTGTGAAAACTCAAGCAGTTAGCATTTGTGGAGGGATTTCATTAGGTGCATGCTCCTCACCCATCCCCCAGGTCCCAGTGTACACATTTTAATCAGCTCCTCTCTTGCTGGAGGTCAGGCGGTCCTGCTGCTGCACTGCGGGGCTCTCTATATTTAAAGAAGGATGTGAGATGTGATAGAAAGTGATGCTGCGGCTCGACTGTACTTTTAAAAGTGTAACCTCTGTGACCTGACATCTTGTTCGATTTCTGTCTCCGTCACATTCTTTATCCGTTCATGTCCCTTCCTGTTATGCAGTGATCCATCGCAGACGGGCTGTGATGTTGGGGGATGATGTGTTGCTCCAGTGTGAACTGCGCTCTAACTTGGCGACGCCACGCTGGACGCTAAACGGCAAGGAGCTCCAGGGATACGGGCTGAATTCAGGCTACCGTGTTGGCACAGATGGACTCCTCATAATTGGAGCTCGCACCCAGCAGGGAGGCTCGTATCGCTGCTTTGCAGTGGAGAACGGTGTCTCAGTGCTGGTTTATCTCTACACAGTGAAGATTCACACAGATCCATATTTGCCGACGGAGCCCACAGTCACCACCGAACCCACAACTGCCTCCAGCCCGGTGGTTTTCTCCACCATCAGCCCCACTGAGCAGCCTCTACCCTCGCCGCCAGCTCCCCTGCCTCCAGGACCCAATTTCCAGACCTTCAGGCACATGGAGGCCATCTACATATCGCTGGTGGCAGTTCTTGGAGGGCTTTGCTTAGTGCTGACTGTGGTGCTGCTCTATGTAAGCTTCTGCACCAGACGGACGAACCAGAGTCGCAAGTTCTCCCATCAAAACCTTCATGTTCTTGGGGCCTCTGATAGAAAGAGGAGCTCCAATCTAGAGCTGAAAACCATCTCCAGCCACTGCAACGGTCGCCAGGGTCGGCGCTCCATCTCAGTGCCTACCTTCGGGGACTTTAACGACAGCTTCCTCCAGATTATTCCTGACGAGGACCAGATCTCTCCGGCCAAAACGCCGCCGCCAGCTCCTCCTCTTCCTAATCCTCCTCCACTTCCGAACATGGACTATGCCAACGGGCTGTCGGCCACGCTGCCCAGCGTGCTGAGGAAGATGAACGGGAATAGCTACGTGCTGTTGAGGCAGGCCGACCCAGAAGGCATGTCGCCGCTGTACCACTCATTCACGGAGGAGCTCAATCGGATCCTGGAGAAGAGGAAACACACACAGCTCGACATGCACCCTGATGAGAGCTCCATCTAGGATCCCCCAGTCAATACAGGAACCCAAGTTATTTATTACTGAATAGCGATGCGCTGTTGTGGAAAAAAGCTGAAGCTTTGTCTTTATTATTCAGGCTGCAGTTCTAGCTGCAGCTTGATTAAAAAAAGGAAACTGCTGTGTCTGGAGAGCACTGAGTTCCTCACAAGTTCACTAACGGATGGACCAAACTCAGCAAAGGGACTGGAAGAAGTTCAGCTGCTGTGAAGAATTTGCACTAAAAGAAAGAAACGGGGTGATGTCACCTCATTAAACTGGATGTTAAGTAACAACGAGAGGCATGTTGCAGAGAATCACTGGACGTTTTTTATGATTGAGGTTCCTGGAAGACTTAAACATCATGTAATATTTATTCTATGTGTAGATCAAAGTGATACTCTACCCTATATAAAACTTAAGGAAAATTATCTCTTACCTGTAGCATTCATCAAGTTCTAGACCTTTTGTTTTCTTTCCCAGATCTCTCTGTAGACTTGTCCCTCTGGATGGTGGGAAGTAAGGCTTTTGACAAGAAGCAGCAATTTTAAGATGGTTTATTTTGTTGATTTTTACCCCTTTGAGAAGTCATGAAGCGTATCTGTTACAGTACAAGCACAAACTACTGTATCACACAAGGGTTTTTGTTAAAGACCAAAACAATAGGTTGAAACGCCACAATATGGACCAAAGTGTGTTACTGTGAAGTGGAAAGAAAGCAATACAGGTTTATTAGGTGTGACTAATAAACAGCTCAAGCCCAATTAAATTGGATGGAGGGTGTCTTTAAACATAAAGCTTCACACTTTGCTGCACATCCTCAAATATTTATGTTCTAACATTTTATCTGCTTTAATTCACATCATCCTATTGTAGCTCTGGATTTATGTTTACGGTTGTTTTCTTTCTGGAAGATGAACCTTTGCCCCAAACTCAAGAGTTTTTCAGACTCTTACAGCTTTAGTCAACTTTTCCATCAACTTCCCCTGCTGAGTAAAAGCATCGAAACATTATGATGCTGTCAGCAATATGCTGGACCGAAAAGGCTTCAGTCGACTTTTAATGCAGGAGAAATAGATTAGAAAAAGAAGCGTTCGAGTAAATGGGACGAAATACACAACCCTAATGCAGCCTTATTCTTAAAAAATGTTAAAGACTGAAGAAATTTTCCTCCACGGAAAAAAACCCCCAATTAAATGCATAAATTAAATTATGTTTATGGGTTAGGGTTATAAAATAATAAGTGCATAATTAAAAAATATGCACTTGAAATAAGACAATGCAATTACGTTTTTCTTATTCTAAATGTAAATTGTTTTGTTCCTAATGAAAAATGTCTCACTTACCTCCTTAATTCAATAAAAAAAATGCACTTATTAGATTTCAATTTTCACTTTTTTTCCCCAGACTCTCTTTTGTGCACGCCCTCCTCTCACAGATCACATTTAAACTTCTTAAAATAATAATCCATATTAAATATATTTATATATATAATCAATAAAACATTAATTTCAAGCTCTATCATTGTTGGTAGTTTTAATTTAAGTGATTATTTGAAGGAGGTTTTCTGCAGCACACATTGATTCATTCTGTTTTTACTGCTTTTGTCAGAAAGTGTTGGATCTCTGTTTTCTTTGACTAAAGGACAGAGGAAGAAAGAAAACTTTGTAGAATGAAACCTTTTGTGCATAAATGCCAAACACAACCTTAATGGATGATGAATTTTGGTTGGAGTATCATTTGAGTAATCCTCTAATGACATATCCTTCAGTGTCTTGATTTAAAACATAAATGATGTTGTTTCTCTTGTGTAAATATTGTAGCAACAATTGCTTTAATTTACAGACTCAATATCCTGTGAAAAAAAGAAATGCGACTGGCTTATTTGTTTCTGCTTTTTTTTTTACCATTTATGTGGGAAGAGATGAAAAAACAGCATGAAAGAAAATGCACCCTGTGTTTAAAGGAGCAGTCAGCCTTTGGCTGGATTTACTGATTCATCTAAAGTCAATCTTCTCGGCTCTTAAAAAGCACAAGCTGAAGAAAACATAAAAATGTGGCAAATGGGTTTCTTAAGCAGCGTAGCTCCTTTCAGTCTACCTGCGTGTTTGTCTTCTCGTCTATCCTCCTTTACAGGTGCTGGTCATAAAATTAGAATATCATGAAAAAGTAGTTTGATTTCAGTAATTCCATTTAAAAAGTGAAACTTGTATATTATATTCATACATTACATACAAACTCATATATTTCAGATGTTTATTTTGTTTAATTTTGATGATTACAAATGACAACAAATGAAAATCTCAAATTCATCATATCAGAAAATTAGAATATTGTGAAAAGGTTCAAAATTGATGGCCCCTGGTGCCACACTCTAATCAGCTAATTAACTCAAACCACCTGCAAAAGCCTTTAAATGGTCTTTCAGTCTAGTTCTATAGGCTACACAATCATGGGGAAGACTGCTGACTTGACAGTTGTCCAAAAGACGACCATCGACACCTTGCACAAGGAGGGCAAGACACAAAAGGTCATCGCTAAAGAGGCTGGCTGTTCACAGAGCTCAGTGTCCAAGCACATTAATAGAGAGGCGAAGGGAAGGAAAAGATGTGGTCGAAAAAAGTGTACAAGCAAGAGAGATAACCGCACCCTGGAGAGGATTGTGAAACAAAACCCATTCAAAAATGTGGGGGAGATTCACAAAGAGTGGACTGCAGCTGGAGTGAGTGCTTCAAGAACCACCACACACAGACGTATGAAAGACATGGGTTTCTGCTGTCGCATTCCTTGTGTCAAGCCACTCTTGAACCACAGACAGCGTCAGAAGCGTCTTGCCTGGGCTAAAGAGAAACAGGACTGGACTGCTGGTGAGTGGTCCAAAGTCATGTTCTCTGATGAAAGTAAATTTTTCATTTCCTTTGGAAATCAAGGTCCCAGAGTCTGGAGGAAAAGAAGAGAGGCACTTCATCCACGTTGCTTGAAGTCCAGTGTAAAGTTTCCACAGTCAGTGATGGTTTGGGGTGCCATGTCATCTGCTGGTGTTGGTCCATTGTGTTTTCTGAGGTCCAGGGTCAACGCAGCCACATACCAGGAAGTTTTAGAGCACTTCATGCTTCCTGCAGCTGACCAACTTTTTGGAGATGCAGATTTCATTTTCCAACAGGACTTGGCACCTGCACACAGTGCCAAAGCTACCAGTACCTGGTTGAAGGACCATGGTATCCCTGTTCTTAATTGGCCAGCAAACTCTCCTGACCTTAACCCCATAGAAAATCTATGGGGTATTGTGAAGAAGAAGATGCAATACACCAGACCCAACAATTCAGAAGAGCTAAAAGCCACTATTAGAGCAACCTGGGCTATCATAACACCTGAGCAGTGCCACAGACTGATCGACTCCATGCCACGCCGCATTGCTGCAGTAATACAGGCCAAAGGAGGCCCAACTAAATACTGAGTGCTGTACATGCTCATACTTTTCATGTTCATACTTTTCAGTTGGCCAACATTTCTATAAATCCTTTGTTTTTATTGGTCTTCAGTAATATTCTAATTTTCTGATATGATGAATTTCATTTGTTGTCATTTGTAATCATCAAAATTAAACAAAATAAACATCTGAAATATATGAGTTTGTATGTAATGTATGAATATAATATACAAGTTTCACTTTTTAAATGGAATTACTGAAATCAATCTACTTTTTCATGATATTCTAATTTTATGACCAGCACCTGTATAGATGCACAAAGCATATAGACACAGAAGCAGGTGCAGTTATATGTTAACACAAGGAGAATCTTTTCTTTCATCTATTCTCTAATTAAAATAACTACATTTTTTTCCTCTTATAAAACCAGTACAGATCCAGAAGTTAGTAAGGTTTGTCCTCTGCAGTAAAAAAAAAAAAAAAGCTGCAGGTAGCAGATCTCTGACCGGGCGTGCTGTGTGATGCCAGAAGCAACCAAAAACTGCAAAGCTCCCTGTATTTCAATGGCAAGGTGAGCATCCCTGTGATCAAATAGAGCTTGAATCTGTGAGCAGTTTGTAAACGTGTCTTCTCTGCAAAGTGTTGAATCAGCTCTTGGCCCCTCTGGTGGCTATCGGGACATAAGTCAGAGCAGCATACCTTGGCTAACCTCCAGAAAGAAAGGGCAGGAGCAGTTAGGTTTTCTGTGTTTTAGTTTCTGCAATCTCTGCCAGGCTGATGCAGCAATGAAACTTTAACCATTGAGAGGGAGATCATCCTAGATATGTTTAGACTGGATATAAATCTTTTGACAAAAATTCATTTTGAAATTTAAAAATATATATATAGATAATTTTTTAAAAATTATTAGATATTTTTCCCTCTCCATTTTGTTATTTTTTTACACAGTTTAACAAATCACAGAACTATGAAGGAGGTTACACTCCTGTTGGCGATATAAGATGACAACAACATATTTTTCTCTCTCATGTGCATTTAAACCCTAAATTCAGATCAACTCCTACCTTCAAAATAAGAGTTTTAATTATAAACTCCAAATTAAACTCCAAAACTCCTTAAACTCCAAATATAATCTAATGCAAAGAGAAGAAGATTATGGCCACTTGAGAAAACAGAAATGCAAACTTATTTTTTTTTATTTTATTTGAAAAAAAAAATGTCAGAATTCTGACTTTAATCTCAGAATTATGACTGAAATCTCAGATTTTTCTTTTGAAATTCTGCCTTTTTTAAAATTTTTATTTATTTTTTTTCAGTAGCTTCAACGCTCTTTCGTAAATGCAGCATCGGAAAGGCCTCTTGCTCAAAAACTTGTTACTGAAATGTTGTCCAACATAAATGTTACCATGAACGTTGCCTCACTGGGTGTGGAAATGTCCTTGTTTTGTTCCTCCCAGTTGAAAGTCAGAAAACCTGTAAGCTGAATTCTGTGGTTCAAAAACAGTTGTGCAATCTCTACAGGTTGATAAAGACACTAATCGCTGCTGCACTTGCTAAAATAGTAGGAATTAGATTTAAAAACATTTCATTTCCCTCTGCATTTTGTATTATATTAAACCCTGAGCCCCTGCACAAGAGTACAGCCTTTATTTGTGAACCTGTTCCTAAATTATTTGAATTGTTGCATCAGTTGGAACTGCTAATAATACTTGGCACCTAAACATTTAGCAATTATTGTAGGTTTACCGCCTAACACCTACAATGTGCTAAAATTAACTGTGACATCTCATTACCAGGGTGAATTGAATGCACCATATTTAAAAATAACTGATCAACTTTAAAAAGGCCTAAACATTAAGCTGCAATTTTTATTTTTTTCTGAAGCTTAGGTTCTTTTGGTTCTGCAGAAAAAACACGTCCGCCAAAGCAGATTTCCTGCTTCTAATCCTCCTTTTCTATCAATTCACCCTTTTCCTGCACCGGTTTTGTGTGTTCTCTAATTTGGTCTCTGCTGCCTCCACAGATTCCTCATCCCATTACCTCTACATTAAAGTTTAATCCATTAGTTTGATCCATTAGTCCCTCCATTCACATTTCTCTCTAAAGGAGTCTGTTGAGTTCATACAGTAAATGGTTGCTGAATAATTTGTGACAGATTTAAGACACTGCTCACGTTTGTGTTTTTGCAGACATTGGAATAAAGTCATGATTTTTATGTCACGGCTTAGCACATAGTTAAGGATATTTTTATACTTATATTAATGCCATATATTTATAGGCTTCAGTTTTATTTAAATCAAAGCTGTAAATGTATAGAGGGTTGTATTTTGTAGCACCTGTAAAATGAATAAATGACAATGCTTTCTCTTGTGTTAGATAAAAAGTGACTTATGCATGTTCAGTCTGAACACTAAGCCTCTGCTTCCTCAGTTTGTCAAGTACAAGTTTGAGTAAAGAAGCCAATACTGTACAATTCATGCATATTTTGGTAAATGGATATTCTGTTTGAAATGCAATATGAATCTGAAATACAAACAAGTTTTTATTAGTATTAATATTTTATGTTATATGTAGTAATTTGAAATGACAAAGAAATACCCTTTTTTTTTTTTTTTTTTTGCTAATTGAATCTCCTGAGAACATCCAGTTACGGAAATATGCACGCTGCACAAAGAACTACAACAAGATGTGTATTTTTGGCTTCAATATGTGTAATTTATCTCTGCTTTATGTTTAAGTACTACATTCCCTTATTTATTGTCCAAACAAATTTAGTTTTTATCCTTTGCTGTTTATTAATATATACAATCTTTTAAAAATTATATAAAATACATCAACTGTGACCCT